TGCAGATGTGCCTGCATCCATGCAGCATGCATCCGGCTCCGTACGGTGCCTGCGGTGCTATACCGTGGTACGGTACTCTGACGGTACACAACGCACGCGCGCTCACTCGACCCACCAAATTCCTCGATTCGCTCACAGTAATCACTTTGCGTACCTCCATCCATGTCCATGTATACCCCCCCCTTCCCCCCACGGCGCTCGGATCGCTTCATCCGCCTCCATCGAATGGCAGTCGTTGGGACGTCTCGTGTCAAGCTGTCATCTGCTCGATATCATCTACAGCACTCGCGGGACCCGTAGCCGGCTCGTGGCCGCGGACACAGCCGATCAATCGTCATCGTCTGTCTCCCTCGAGGCGCTTTGCGTGACGCCGCGACACCTACGTACGCCCTCGCGCCCCGGCTCTTTACGTCTCGCAGATTTTCTTGCTCGTTCAACTTCCCATCCCAACATCTCGCACCTGCGCCCTCGTCACCTCTCAACTCCTCCATCCCCTCGTCAAATCCTGTTCTCACACCAAATAGACCGCAATCAGCATAGCACGCATGGGTCGAGCGGACCATGTCGCCCTAAGTTGACAGTCAACACTTTAAAGCAAAGGCGCATTCTGTGACCATGAGTCGTAGACAGCGCGAATGGGGGGGAGGTGCGGTGAGCTCGAGCAGTGGTGGACATGGTGCAGGCCCCAGCTCTAGCAGCGCAACAGCAGGAGCAAGAGCAGGAGCAGGAGCAGGAGCAGGATCAGGAGGTGCAGCAGGAACAGGGTCGTCGCGAATCATCAACCAGAAAGCAGCCCTAGCATCAGCCTATCAAGAATTGGGTAAGGAACTAGCTTCGGGCAAGCTGAAAAGCGTTGGCAGCTACACGCTAGGCAGACCGATCGGCGAAGGAACGTTTGGAAAAGTCAGAATGGGGGTTCATAGACTCACGGGCACTCGAGTGGCAATCAAGCAGGTACCCAAGGCTCATAGTGCCAGTCTCACCAGGGAGATCCATCATCATAGACGTCTGCACCATCCTCACGTCATGCAGCTCTACGAAGTCATTGCTACCGAGAGCAACATCTGGATGGTGTCTGAGCTGTGCGCAGGCGGAGAGCTGTACGACTACCTGGTGGAGCGAGGCACTATGCCGGAGCCTGAGGCTAGAAGACTGTTTGGCCAGCTTTGCTTGGCAGTAGCATACATCCATGGGAGAGGCATCGTGCATCGAGATCTCAAACTCGAAAACGTGCTCTTGGATGAGCGCTGCAATGTCAAGCTGGGAGACTTTGGCTTCACGCGAGAATTTGAGGGAAAGAGGCTCATGGATACCTTTTGTGGCACGACGGGCTATGCTGCGCCAGAAATGCTTGCTGGAAAAAAGTACACGGGAGAAGGTGAGCGTGGCCGTAATGGTGGCGTTGGCGTTCGGATTGCAGGCTAACCGCGCAGACAACCGCGCTCAGAGGTGGACATCTGGTCACTGGGTGTCATCCTGTACGCTTTGCTCTGCGGAACCCTGCCTTTCGACGACGATGACGAGGCAGTCATGAAGCAAAAGATCTTGGCTTGCAAATTCGACCTGCCAGACCTCATCTCGGAAGAGTCCAAGGACCTATTAAGCTCCGTATTGCAGTTGGACCCCACCAGTCGACCGTCCATCAAGAGCATCCTGAGCCATCCTTGGTTCAGCAAAATCATGATCAGCAGCCCAATGTCGCCTCTGGATGAAGATGCGGCTGCGGCCGAGCCATCGTACTTTGCGAATCCGCCTCCGTCCAGCAGCGATCCCAGAGGGGAGGAGTTGAATCCGAAGCCGAGCGATCCGGCAGCGGGAGAGCGAAACACTCCCGCAGATGGCGCACGCGAGGAGCTGAGCGCGGCTACTGATGCCCAGGCAGATGCCTCTTCTCCTCCTGCGTCCACAGAAACGAGCTACGAAACAGCTCCGACCAGGTCATTTGAAGAGCCGCTCGACTCGTCGCATCAAGTGACGACGATAAGCCCGCTTCCGAATGGCAGCAAAGCGGACAGGACTTCGGTCGAGCAGCTCGGTGCGCGGTCGTCCCACCCCTCTAATTTTTCGGAAGCCAGCTTCCACACAGTCATGAGTGACAGTGGCAGCAGCGACCAGCGCTCGAGCAGGACGGGAGGCACTAGTCCCATCACGGACTCCACTTCGGAACATGACGAGCCCACGGGCTCTGGCGGAGAGGGAAGCGGCACCTCTCCAAATAGAAAATCTTCGACTGCGTCGGGCGAGTCCACAGACACTGCTCTTACAAAGACAAGAGGGCTCGCCTTGCACAAGAACGAATCGCAGACCACGATCCGACGGGAAGGCTCAAACGGCAGCGATGTGTCGAGAGGTAGGGGCAGTTCCATTGCGGTTCCGGCTGGCAAGGCTGGCAAGGCTGCGGCATCGACGCTCCCGACCCATCATGAGGGACCTGCTGCACTGGAAGAGTCGGCGGAATCGGAAACCGAGGACGTGCATACATCCTCGCGGCCGCCCTCGGCGCTTTCCGCTCGGCTGGCGCGGGCAGGATCTCAAAGTTCTGCGAGAGGTCATGCTCGGACACCATCGAGGACAAAACGTCGCTCGCTTTCGTCAGGGGGGCTTTCAGATCATCATCCTCCTCATTTGGCGCCCAAGCCAGTGAATTATGTGGCCTTACTGGAGGATGCTTCTCCTGCACTCTTCACGAGCGTTGTGGAACAAAATCTCCTACATTCACTCAGCAATCTCGGTCTGGACGTCGGTCAGGTGGTTCACAGCGTCTTGACAGATGCTTGCGATGCCAGCGGCGGCCTGTGGTGGTTGCTGAAGCTCAAGGCATCAGACGCACAAGATGCAGCCATCGCGCTGCCTGCTTCTGCAGGCAGCGTCGTGTCTAACTCAGCCCCTCGTCTTGGCGCGGCGCCGCCTCCAATTCCCATCAAGGATCCCAATCGACCCTCCAGCACAACCGCCAGTCCGTCCAAGAAGGACGAAATTCTCTCCGAGGCTTCCATGACGCCCCGAGCTACCTCCGTCAGAGGCAAGCCTGCGAAAGTCCCGCCGCTCAAAATTGCCAAAGAAAGCGAACGACCTTCCACCGCGCCGGCCTTGACGCCGACTAGCGACACAGGCAAATTCCCAAGCACTACAATTGCTGAATCCGCGTCCACCCAAACCGAGGGCAACGCACCCATCGGCCCGATCCAGATTGTGCCCAGACCTGTGCGAGCCGATCGGAATCGCACGAGCTCCTTCAGCATCAAGCTGTCCAGTGTGCTGGCGAATGCTGCACGTAAGGATTCTGGCGATGGTGCTGGTGAAGATGGAGACGATATGGCAGTGCCAGAGCGCTCCAAAAGCCCTGTCAGCATGCTGTTTGGCAGTAGAAAGGGGGGTGGCACGGTCAAGGATAAGGCCAGGCAAGGCTCGCCAGCTGCTCCGAGCACCGCTCTGCCTGCGAGTCGAAGCGCCCTCGCCAATTTGAACACAGGTTCCAAGTTGCCTGATGGCACGCCCTCGCCGAGACCGAAGAAAGACCCAGCGCGAGACAGAGAGCGCATCCGGTCGTTGATGGCAGGCAAGGAGGCCGACGACGACGAGTCCCTGACACAGGGAAGTCCTCGGCCGCTCACAAAGTCGCCTGGTACGCCTGGCAAGGCCAAGGCATCATCCCGCCTAGAATTGAGTGCACCCATGACGAAATCGGTGGACACTTTCAGCACCGTGTCTAGCACCAACGACGAGGCCAAGTCATCCACATCCAAAACACGGCTCAAGTCCAACTTCCTCAGCACCGTGAGGACGTGGCTCGGTGCCGAGGACAAGCAGGGAAAGCGCAGGCGCAAAGCGAATGCGAGCGGTTCGTCCACCAAGACGGGCTCCGTTTATGGGCACGACGGATCTTTGCATCAAAGCTCTGTGGCTCGACGGAGCAGCGTCAGTCGGCGTGCCAATCCGTACCCGACCGGATCTATGGCTGGTCCTGTGCGATCTCCTCGCAGCCCGCAAAGGGGCTCCTTGAGCCGCCGCAGCTCTTCGGGCAGCGCACACCTCTTCGATGGTCATTTGGGGGGCGGCCCGCCTATCAGGCCTGTCAATCTGCGTCGTCAGAGCGCCGGAAGCATCACGCCCACTGCGACCCTGCATGGCGGTGACGCGGCAGAATTTGCACACTTTGGAGCTTTGCAACGATCGAGACCTTCGAGCTCGCAATCTCTTCATAGACCGCCTCATGCTGGCCTGCACCACAAACAGGGGTCCGCCAGTAGTTCTGGCTCTTTTATGCGGCAGCAGCAACAACAGGGCAGCATGCGCGGCGCGCATAGCAGACGACCCAGCACGGATGGCGGAACCACCGTCAGGCGGCATCGCCAGTACCCAAGCGTCCACTCTTTGACCGACAGACCGCGATCAGAGGCTAGCAATTCTCGACCATCTTCCTTGTACGCACCAGCCGTGGCGGAGGAAAATGAGGAAGGTTCGCAGGGAGGGCATGGAGCGGCGACTCCACGTCGAGTGTCGCTGGAGTCGCGATCGGCAATGGCGGAAGGCAGTCAAGGTCGCGCTTCGCCCGTCGTGCAGCACGCTCATGCCCACGCACCTCATCGGGCGAGTGTGTTTGTGGCGCACAAATCCAGATCACCCTATGGACCGCCTTCGGCAAGTCCGATGCTGCAGAGCACTCTACACTCCAAACTCTCTTCGCCTAATCCCACACCCGCAGCCGATGGCGAACCACCGGCTGCTGGAACGGGAATGTGGAGGAGAAGTTGGGGTCGGCCTCCTCCCAGCTGGGCTGGCCCCGTGGATATGGGCCCGACGAGAAGCGAGCTCGCGGCGGCAGCCTTGATCGCCCGACCCAAACTTCGAGACGTTTTTGCTGATCGCGAGGATGACGAGTGGGAAGATGAGGATGACGAACCTACGTATGCAGGCGGTCTGGGCCAGCTGGACTCCTTTGGATCTGGCTGGCGTGGCACCTCTAGGAATACCGCAGGCTCTGGCTTTGAATCCATGTTTGGCGGAACGAACAGCGGGAGGGGCGTCTCTGGTCTTCCACCTACATCCACCACGGCCTTTGGCACACCTTCTCGCATCGGCTTGGGGAGCAGCGAAGGTAGCCTGCTATCATCTGGAAGATATGCGGGGGTGCGTTCCATCTTTCAGCCTCCTTCCTTGGGCCGTGACACGGCACCTCGACTTTTATCGATGCAGATGAACGCCGATGAAGATGCTTCCGCTGGATCTGCCCTGGGTTCTGCGCCGGATACGAATTCTGCGGACAAGTCGACGTTGGGGGCGCCTTCGAATAAGGATGCGCCTGCGAACAACTTGACAGGTGTTGCGCCGGCAGCGCCTGCTTCTGGCCTCATGGGCACGGGCACAGCTAGGCTTCGCGGGCAGACGCCGGCGTTCAAGACCATCACGATCGAAGAGGAAGAGGAGGATGAGTAACGCGGGATGCGGTTGAGCAACCCTCTTTTTGGAAAAGTGTCTCTACCAAAGTCGTCTTTTGGGCTTTTCGCGATTCGAACTCCCTCCTCGCCCGCCAGCATCACCTTCACGACTCGAGGTCCGTAAGAGCCTTTTCGACTCACCTTTCCGCCGGCACATGTCCCTTGCTCGGATATTCTCCTCTTGCACTTGGACGGCTACGAACTCCGCTCGACAAACCTCAAATTTCTGCACATTTTGATACCAAAGGACACTTTTCGCTTCGCTCGTCAGCGTTGCTCTCCCACTGATCGATTTTTGCCATGCCATGCAACTCTTGGGGCACGGATTTTTCTTTTTCTTTTTTTGCTTGTTAGACTGCAGCTTCTTCCCCGAATCATACCTCGATGGTTGTAGTCTCTTGTCTTTGACGTTCCCCTCCCCCGGCGTCCGAACTCCCCCGCTCGTTGCTTGTGAGTGTCCAATTCCACACTCATTCTCATTGTTGATGTCAAGAAGCCCATGCTGCATAGATCGTGTGCGCCTGGGGGGAGAGATGACGTGCAAGTTGAGATGTGGAGACACATGAGAGAAGGTGTGCAGCAGGAGTGCACGCTGATGAATCTTGCTTGCTTGCTTTTGTGCCGTCCTACTTCACTCACCTGGACTTGTGACCACGGCTTGAGTCGTTAACCCTTTGTGAATCAAATCTACATTGTTGATCGGTGTGTCAGTAAAGATGCACAATCGCGAATTCACGGCTGCCTCAACAACGTAATTGATGCTGAGGAGAGTCACCATGCAGTCGTACTCACGACTAGGGCGCGTGATGCTGCGCGCGTTGGCACGTCGCGCAAGGCGGCGTGGGTGTCGGATTCGAGTCTGATTGATTGCATGGGCCGATGTGGATCCCGCCACGATGTACATTCACGATTGATCTAAATAATCATCGCGACTCACGCCCACGCTGACTACTCTGACCGCAGCATGAACAACGACCGCAAGTGCTGCTCCCTCCATCCGTGTTCACGACTACCATCCTACGATCGATCACCATTGCGCATATCGAGATTGGTGATTGCTGGGTCGTTGAGTCTGCTCGTCTCGATCGAGCCACGAAGCTCTCTCCACAACACTCATCATCGCGCAACCCTACATCCCTCGCCCGTCGCCCGACAACCCCTATGATCTTTAATGTGCAAGCATGCGATCTTCCAGCACATCTCTCTCGCCCGTCGAGTCTATGCGTCTTCGACTAGACACGCTGACCGCTTTGGTCCAAGGACCTTCGGCCCAGCAACGAGCGGGCCCATCTCTCCACGCTGCAAGTCTCGCTCTTGCGAATCAAGCCACCTCCAGCTCAGGTGAAGATGCGGGTGCAGGTTCAAAGGTCAACGAAAGATCGATCACTTCTCGCCTTTCGCAAGCCCAGGAGGCGCTGAATGATTCTATCGGTGCTCACAAATCCCTAATGGCTTTTGCTCAAACGTTTGATCAAAACAGACCTTGGTTGATACCCATCATCGCTTTGCAGAAACGATCCGTCGGGTCCGGTAGCGAGAATGGAAAACCAGAGGAAGAGGGAGAACAGAATGATGCTCGAGACTTGGGAAAGGGGGCAGAGGAGAGGGATGAATGGTTGATGCTTGGTGGGCTCGAGGAGAGGGCTACGATTGTGATAGAAGCGGAGAGGGACATCAAGCAGCTCGGTCGGGACATGGATGCCATCAAGGAGCTTCAACGATTTGCCGAAGGTGGCCGTCTGGGAGGTGAGTGGGTGTGAGTGTGTGTGTATGTGTGCGTCTAGCAAGCATGGAGCTGCCACCTCGCTGTCAACGCGCGCTCGACGTCGTGCTCGACGTGAGTGCGCTCACAACTTTCTCTCATCGTTGCGCGTACTCAGAACTACAAGATCTGCGTCCATTGCTGGATCAACTCATTGCTCGCTTATCTGACGCGTCGGAGAGCAGGCCAGAGTTGGACAGCCAAGTGCTCTCACTAGTAGATCAATACGGAGAATGGGTGCGTCTCGAGGGGTGGCCTTGCGCCGATCGAAGTGCGCATACCTCACATCTAACTCGCTCCGCTTCTCGCACATCTCGACACGCGGCCAGGTCCGAATGCTGTCCAGCTTGTTTGTCAGTTGGGACGAAGGACTTTCGGAGTTGGAGAGACGCGTCACCCAACTTGAACGACAGAAAGCTGCGGCTCGTTGAAGCTATGAGGCAGTTCATGAGCACATCGGTAGCCAGACGCCATCTCACTCAAGGTAGCATCTGTTCACAACTGACTGCGAAATCAGAATACTCGCACAACAACTCCTGACTGGCAAAAAGGAAAGGCTTGGACCACAGCCCGGAAGACGACGACAAGGTGGTCGCGGGCAAGCTCCGGTTCGGGGGAGTACACTGAATCAGTACCGAACCTCCTTTCGACATTTGGCTGCTTTTCCGGCAGACGTCATACAAAACCCGCACCGCACCACCTCGTCCCTCAGTCTGACGCTACCCTCCTACAATTTCTCTCGCCCCTCCACTCGACAATAGCGGCAAGAGAGCAAGAAAAACCGGGCTAGCATTCCTCGCGCTTCCTGTCAAGGATCAGGCTGAGCTTCCTCGAGTGGAGTGTGCCTAGGCTGCAATCAGGCAGCTTGGAATACAGAGGCCTTCTTTCTGCTACACACCAGCCAGCCTTTGGGCGAATTCAAAGGGCGCAGGGGCTCGAAACCCAGTTGTCAATCCGTTTGCCCATCCACTCGTCCCTTGTCCGACAAATGTGTAGCGATTACCCACCAGCGTCGACAGGCCTACCGCGAGCGAGCGCATTTCCGTCTTTCCATCGCAATACGATTCGCAGTCATCGCACTCCATTCCATTCGTCGCTCTGTGCTAGCCGTCAATTTGTCCCAGACTGCGCTTGGGTCATATATCGTGTCCCACCACCCCCAGCCCCTCTTGTGCCCTTGCAGGTGGGGGGAGGCGGCGGGGGGGCATCTTTTGGCGGGGAATTTAAGCACTCTGCGTGGATAGGGTGTAGATGGTGTGACCCGCTGTACCGATCAGACCGATATAGGCGACAAAGGTGCTCAGGAAGGGGTAGAAGCGTCGTTTGGGTTCGCCGGATGCGTAAGCTTGTTTGAGCGGGTGTTGGGAGGAGGAGGCAAAGGAAAGTAGGAAGCAAGTCGGGAGGAGAGGGAGCGGCGTCAGCATGGAGCTTGAGGGACGCCAAGGCGGCGCGCTCAGAGGGCGCAGAGGCGTCATTGACATCCTCGCGCACGCGCGACATCTTGACTTTTCTTTTGAATTGAACACTGCGCTGCTGATCATCATCATCATGATGATTGGGGCGCCGAGCACGAATGCAAACTCTTTCAAAAGGAGGCAACGTTCGCAGCGTTGATGGGGCAATTCCCCCGCGTCACTTTCAACATTC